CTTGACCTGCCTTGCTCCGCGTTGCCCTGCCATCCTTGCGTTGCCTTTCGCTGCCCTGTCTCTCCTAGCCTTGCGCTTCCCTTCTTTGCATTACGCTGCCCTGCTGTATACCACTCCTTGCCCTGCCCGTCGTTGCCTTGCGCTAACCTGACTGCGCTCAAAACTTCAAGGCAAGCTGTCCAGACATTTGACTTTGACCTTTCCAAGCTTATCTTGAAATTTTAAGGATGTTAAACGTTACGAGAGGTGAGTTGTTAAACATGTCGCCCATAGCATTTGAAAAAGCCTGCTTGGTGTTGACCTCTGTTCAAGGTCACGGGGGCTAATAGTTGACGATCATACCCCTATGAATTATAAAAGGCTTTGAAATCAGAAGCTGACTTGTTATGGAATGCTTTTCTCTACAGCAAAAAACGGAACCTAGAAAAAGGGTTCTGCGAAAAACCGTCCGTTGAAAACAGGACTGCGCATTAACAATATCTGAGTACATGCCAAGTAAAATATTTTGGGAAAAGACAGCTTTTTACTCGTATACTGTCTGAATGTGAAAAAATCAGCACAAAGTTGTTTGTGTGATTTTGATGGTAATTCCAAAGTGTCAAGTTCACCATCCACGAAGAACTGACTAAAATTAGGGATGATATTAGTGAATTCTTTTCCACAGAAGATAAAATATATCTCATGAAAATTGTCAGCACTCTCCTAACTCCCTGAAAGCGATTCTTCAGCAGCAATTGAAAAGCTTTCTCTTTCTAAATGGATTCGTAAACTGACGTCGCTCAATCTATTTTTGCTTGAAGATTCGTACAATTTGTTTGCAAGAACAGCAATAAAATGTCTTAGTGGAATATTCATGGATTTTTTGCTAACATTTTCTAAACAGGCATTGTTTCTCGCTTACTCAAGAAACTATATTGAATATGAAACATCTAATTTGCTGTAGATCCGTTGCTCAAGTTTTTGTCAAACAAATTGAAGACATAGTTGACGATGTGGTAAATTATTTAGACTATCAGCATACGTGGGTGCCAAAACAATCTGCCTATTGGAAATTTTTTTTCGACAAAAACGGCTTTGATGAAAACTGTTGCGGATGTCTGTTCAATGAGAGAAAATGAAATGGTCACCTATTTTTTTAAATAATTTTCTACTCTTTGCTGAAAAGATATCTCAATGTTTGAGGAAGTACGCTCAAATAGATTCAATCCTATCTATTGAATCAAAAGCAAGTCGTCGAGAAGTTTTCTGATGCAATATCATTTGGCCAAGATCTACCGCAGGGGTCTATATTAGGCCCTGTTCTAGTTTATTTTAATGGCTACCGATAGGGCTCGTCGTTCATCATAGTTTAAGTTACCAGCTTTATGCTGATGACTCTTTGAATTATTTTTAATTTTTTGATAACGTAAATGGAGTTAATATCAACAATGCTCTAGTAGATATCATACTTTGGTTTTGTAAGATATCCTTTTATGTTAATACCTCGAAGACAGAATAAAAAATCCTCCTGATATTATAGCATGGATAGCTTGAACCTGATATTATATTAGATCGAAATTTCTGGACGCAAATTTCAGTTAGGAGCTATTTGGATTGTGATGAAAAAGTTTCGTTTTTCAAATGAATCAATGCTGAGTGTTTTCTAGATAGTTTTTTAGGACGCTGAACATCATCAAATTTAGCCTAAACACATATGACGGTTATAATTGATTCCTGCAAATCATTCTAATTGGTGTTCGCATAGATCTTAGACTTGAGTCCTATCGATTACAGTATGATGCTGCGATGTGTGTGTCAGGCAAGTAAATCTGACTCAGTTACTATTTTTTTTGTGATCTGCATTGGCTGCATGGTACACAGCGAATATTTCTCAAGAATTTGACGGTGTAATATCCCTCAAGAGTTTGACAAAGGAAGGACCCATTCGGACAGTATTGAGTAGAATATGTTCAAGATGGCAGCTTTTGGCACGGAGAATCGAGCAAAACTTGCGTGCCCGGTTTTAGCGGACTGCTTTAAATTTGTGCGGAGAACCGAGAAAAGCTCCTTATATGCTCCGTTATCTTGCTTAGTTGAGCCATTTTCCGACTACAACGGGGTTTTCCCACAGGTCATCAAGTTTAAGAGATGTTGACTTTGATGAACAGTTAACAATCTGGTGTATGTCATGCGGACTAACGTTACAGATATGGCAGTTTTCTTAAATCTTTTTGTCCTATTTCGACAAATATCTTTTTCATTGCGTGCTACATCCACAGCGGAGTTGAGCAATAGTACGCCGTGAAATTCCCGGAAAGCTATTTTCCTCCGATGAAATTTCTGGAATTTGATAGCCCATCAATTTGAAAGGATGCTTGGTAACGTAGTTTTTCATATCATTTGAATTAAATGGTTTAAGAGCGACTTGTAATGAACTGGTGCTAAGCGATCATTTCATCAAGCTGTTTTTTGATGTTGCATTATTTTTTTTTCGGCTAGTCTTGATTTTATAAGTCTCATCATCAGGTAGTGTTTGGTTGTATGGCGGTAATTTTTTTTGTTGATGGCGGCCAGTTAGAAATTGTTCGCTCAACATTTCAATGTGTTCTTTTGCTGTGAGTTACAAAGAAAGTGTGCAATTGGAGTCATTTTTCTGCCTTTTCCCACGTTTTTGGTTTTTCCAAGAAGTTCACTGACTGAAGGTGGCCAGACAGGAGCTACGTAATACAGAACACTACGCCGAATAGCCTTATATGTAATACTCGGTTTCTTTGCTGCACCCCCTGCTTGTGCCTGAGAGTTGTTTCAGGAAGTTATTGCGTGTTTGGACTTTAATTATATCTGTGGTAATCTGTTCAGTGAAAGTTAAGAGGTTATCAAAGGTGGAGGATTTTGGATGGTAATTAGGTTTTTGGATAACATTAGTTTGATTCGTTTTTTTCTTAGTTACAGATTTTTATTATAGTCGCAGAAGATTTATTTGTAGATAGTTGTAATTTGCCCCTTCGAAGACATTTATTCAATGTATATAGGTAAAGTTGTACCTCTAGTTCATGTTTATTGCTGTTCCGATCAGTGGTGGTGATACAAGTATCATCTGCATATGTTGTTACTTTGATGTTTTTGGCGGATGGAAAGGGCATTGATGACATACATAAATATTGAACAGAAAAAGCGAAAAGACTCTTCTTTGAGGTACACTTTGCTTCATTCGTCACATTTGACTTTTTGTTTCTAAATTCAATCTAAGTTGCCCTGCTTTGTAAATTTTATGTTCTATCCATCTGTTTGTATTGTCTGGAAGAGACGACTTTTCAAGACCTTATGACATGATACCGTGATCCACTGTCAAAATCTGCAGTAAGATCTTAGGCAATTAAGAGTGTTCTGCGTGGAGGACGAGGTTCATTAGGTCCGTTTCTTATGCCAGTCGGTATGAGTGCAAGGCAGTATTTTTGATCTATTCTCGAAATCCGTGCTGGTGATGTGCTAGTGGGATATGGTTGAAGTCATCCAGCAAGAATCTTTCAATCATTTTCGCTACTGGGGGTAAGGACGCTATGGGTCAGCTGCGTTTAGCTTCATTTTTGCTTTTTCCTGGTTTCAGTTAAAGAAAAAGTCGGCCTACTTTCCAGTTGCTGAATAATAGATGGTAAGGGTGATTAATGTTAGTTCAGTAAGAAATTTGATACCTTTTTCCATGATAGTGAAGATTAATGGTAGCGGTTTTGTCGGACTCTTAAGCTTTGCTTTTCTTGCTGTTTAATTATATTTGTGACAACCTGTGGGTCAATTTAAGTAGTTTAATGAGTTTTTTAATCTGCGGAGTGTTCTGCGTTTTTTTTCGGATAAGCGAGTGAGGGTTGTACATGTGATTGTATCATGAAGTTTGGTTTTTTGAATGGCTGCAATAGATATTTTTTGGCTGTTGACAGTCAGACCAGTTTTGACTGTAGTAATTGCGAGACCATTCCGCAGTGATAGGCAACGAGGTGCAAGAGAGGTGTGCCCATCCGCAGAAATGGCACCAGACGCTTGTGTTAGCTCTCGTTTTTTTCTCTCAGAGATAGGCCAGATGTACAGCCGTCTTGGATTCGATTCTATTGCGGCTCTTAATTGGATTCGATTCTATTGCGGCACTTAGTAGGATGTTATTGATTGATCCAGCGCCTCTTAGTAAGATGTTATTGATTGATCCAGTTGATTGGTAGAGGAATGTAGTTGCTGGTTTTCTCTTTTCCCACAATAAAAACACGAATTGGGAAACGATGATCCTGCTGGAGAAGGTTTGTACAAAATTGGGACCATGCTGTGACTCCTACCTCGGTATCCAATTTTTCGCCTTCTTCGGTTTCCAATTTTCCGCTCGGAAAAGGAGTTCGAAAGCTTTTTGAAGCTATTTTTGAACATCGTCCGATACAAAAGTGAAGTTTTTTCTGGCGTTTTTTCGAATTTTTCCATGTAGTGTTTTCAGCTAATTTTTAAGAAAAAAAATCCGACTTCCGTCTTTTTTCTTATTAACTATCCTTTTTATATTGCAATTGTTGCTTCGCATCAATCTTAGTAATTTCATTCGATTGACGTGGACCAACTATGTATTTAAGCACCATCTCTTTTTTCAGGCTTGCTAACATGTCAGCCTACGGACTTCCTGCGCATCATGTAGGTTAGTAAACCTATAAAGCTATATTAATAGAAGTCGCTTAATTTTTTCCTACAGGAACTGATCAGAAATATTTTGAACTAAAACTTGAAATTGGTATTTTTTTGCCTTCGAAGTTATCTAAAATATTAAACTTCATATAAAATGGGAAAATGTATTGTTTTGCTATAAGCATAAGCGATTAGTATGAAATTTAGGGTCTAATCCAGATGCTTCGAAAAACGGGATGAGTTAAATCTTTTATGCGTAACCCTTTTTATTGGCTCTTTGATTAAGGATGTAAACTTATTAAAGTCACTGTTCGACTCCGGTCAGTCTTGGTGTTTTTCCTATAGTGAAATGTCCTCATGGGGTGATGATGCCAAGGCTGATCTACGGGACAGCTTGGAAGAAAGATCAAACGACGAAGTTGGTGAAGAGTGCATTAACTCATGGATACAGGGGAATAGACACTGCATGTCAGCCCAAGCACTACCAGGAACAACTGGTCGGCAGGGCCATCCAGAACTACATGGATTCAGGTGAGCCTTTTTTTTTCAATTTTAACTCCTATTTTTGACCCTTTTTCACTTCGTCCAGCCAGGTCGTAATGTAGCAAAACGTGGTCAGGATCTACCCCCAAAAAGCTGTGATCAGTCCGGGCCGTGACAATAATAATTTGCGTTTAATTTGTGAATGTTGCTAAATAATGAATTGTAGATTATATTTTTACAATTGCGAGAGCTACCATCGGGAACTAGACTTTTTCCCGTAAACAACTTTTCTTACAAGAAGTTGCACTTTCTTTAATATTGAGCTTTAACCCTTTCCAGGTTTCTTCTCACTCTGCCTGGAGCTAACGCGGTCGCTTGCGCCTACTAGGGTCTGGCTATGCTGGGGTATGAGTCCCGGCAGGACCTTTTTTTACAGTATGCATGATTTTGAATAAAACATTTTCGGTAAAAATTGAATTGTAGGATTTTCGTTGTCTGCTCAAGTTTTGCCGGCTTAGGTGCCGCATCACGCATTGTTCTTGTGCTGTAAGCAAGATTGGTGGTTGCAAGTTTTGTTCCTTGTAGTTTCAGGGGGTCTTGAATCTTAAAGTTTTTAAAGAATTTTTTTTCGGCTAAACGGGTTTCTGTTCAAAGATGGTCAGTTTTGTCTCCGCCTCGTAAATTTTGTTCCATAGCTAAATTAAAATTCAAATGTCTTGCTTGTTATGTTTTCCTGGAGTTCCCGATAAAACAGATATTGCGAAAATCTATGGAATTGTTTGCGTATTTTCTTTAATATAAATTTTCTTGAGACGCGCTGGATTTTTTTTTTTATTTTTTGCAAAAATATCAGTTTCTCAAAACCTACCGTACCGATTTTTAACAAACTTATATCCTTGGAACGGCCGCGTACTCCGCATGTGTTCCTGCATAATCCTCTCGTTTAATTGGCCTCGACCTAATTTTTGCAGAAAAAAAATTGATTACGCAAAGTCACGTTTTCAAACTTTTGACCGTTTTTGAAACTTTTAGCTTTTTTTAAAAACTACCATATCCATTCTGAGATGAAGGGTTCAATCGAAAGAACCAATTGCGAGAATTTTCCCTGCTAAATCGTAAGTTTTCGTAAGTAAAGTGTTTTGTTTTTGTGAAATACTTTATTATTGAAATCGTTTAGGCTTTGGGCAAAAAGCCGAATTTTTGAAATTACTTTTTCATCCCACATCGGTGTATCAAATTCGAATACTATCAAACAGGTATTTCCTGCTTCACCTTGGAAAAAACTAAGAACCAAAATTTTCGCGCCGACTTTTTTTTCTACTTATGTATTTTATGTTTGTTGTATTTCAAGAGGTGAGAAGAGTCAGTTCGAGGACTGCAGTTCAGCTATACTTTTTTCTTCTTTCAGCAAAATTCCCGCGCGAGGAACTATTCATCCAGACCAAATACACTTCTTTAAATGGCCAAGATCCGAATCATATACCATATGACAAAAATGCATCAATAGAAGAGCAAGTAAAACAGTCGATCGCCAAATCTCTGGAGAATCTGGGAGTGACGTATATTGACTCGTTGGTGCTGCATGGACCCATGAGGGACCACCTTGAAAACATGAAAGTGTGGAGAGAATTTGAAAAGGCAGTGGATAAATCTGAAGTGAAGCAAATAGGTGCGAATATAATTTAAAATTACGGTGACGTCAAGTTATTGGCCGCCAACTGGTTCCGCCAGTAAAATTTCTAGGGATTGTTGCCTCCAGTTTTCAAATAAATTCAATTTGTTTTGTTTTTGGCGGCATGCAAGTTTGAATGATTTTTGAACACAGAAGTTTTTGAGGCTAGAAATTTTTGAAATCTTTCTTAAATCCTTGTTTAATTTTTGCGGTTTTTCATTTTAAGATCCCTGATTTTATAAAAGTAATTTCTGACTTCTTTTAATTGTGTTAACATCCAGCTTCTTTTTAGGCGTCAGCAACTTCTATGATCTTCAGTCACTGAGCGCTCTGTACACTGAAGCAAGAATCAAGCCAGCTGTGGTTCAAAACAGATTCTACCGAGCCACCGGCTTCGACAAAGCTCTAAGAGCATGGTGCATTAAAAACGGAGTCATATACCAGTCTTTTTGGACTCTCAGTGCAAATCCAGAGTATATGGCACATCCTTCTGTGAGGAAAGCAGCGAGCGAGCTAAACGTGACACCTGAACAGGTAAATTTAGCTTTATATTTTTACTCTGGCTTTGCTTTTCTAATAAATGCTAATGCCACATTGTTGACAATATTTTAGATCAACGATTTTTAACAAAATTAATAAACCTAAACTGCTCACATTGACATCGAGTACCACTTTTTCACTTATTTCAACGCGTAAAAACATTTTTGAAAACCAATTTACTTATCAAACAATAATGATCAGTATTTTGCTTTGGTGAAGAAACATTTCTCTGAAAAATAACCAACAAATCAAAGCAATCTATAGAAGTAATCATTAAATTGCTTGTTTCAAATCCGAGCAAGGAGCTTAAGAGACTCTCCGTGAAGCGCTGAACGTCTCGCTTGATGATTTCCCTCTAAAATGTATGGTTCTGTTTTTGTTTGGTTTGTTTTAGACAAATTCCGATTGATTTCAGGTTTTCTTCCGATTTGTGATGGACTTGGGAATCTGTCCGCTGACTGGAACCAAAAGTCCCCAGCACATGCAGGACGATCTTGCTGTTCTGGATCTGAAATTGGAACATGAAAATTTTGAAGCTATTCGCAAAGTTGCGGGGTTGTGATTTGAATTGTTAATGAACACTTTAAATTGAAAACTGTAATTATTAGATGAATTTGGAACTTGAAACTTAAAAAATTGTTTAAAAAATTTAATTTTTACTAAGATAACTCGGAGCTCGGACAAAAAATTAAGAAAGAAACAATTTTGGAACTTATGGTTGTGATTTTCTATTAAAGTCTGTCTGGGTATTACAAAACCATTTTTTTGTAAGTTGTTTCAGTTCGGCTAAATAGTTGTTTTTGTTCCGAGTTTCGGATAAATTTTTTGAAAGACAAATTTCGAATTTTAAGTTGGCCATTTTTGACCAAAGTTTAATCTCCATTACCAAGTTCGCCAGTTTGAACTGTTTTAAACAGCTGGTCTAGAGCTACTGAAATGAAACTGGGTCCACAACTGAAACTATTTTGAAAAAAAGTTGATTTTTTGTCGGCTTTTGATTTGTCCCAGTTTTTGTCGGCTTATTTGCTGGGGGTTTTATTTCATAAAACTTTTTTTAGTTTCTTTAAATACTCTTTTTTGTTCACTTTTCAGAGACAAAATGTATTTCATTGTCTTTAAGAGTAATGAACGTAGTGAAGACTCTTTTATAGGTCTTGCTGTTTTTTTGTTGTTTTTTTTAAGGAAAAGTCTCTAATAACTACAGATGTGCATTCATACATATTGATGCATTTATGAATGATTTTAGTTATATATGCACTTTTTGAGTTCAATTAAAACTGATCTGCTGAAAGTGACGTAAATAGCACTCTCGAAATACGAACGTGGAAATGACGCGAAAAAACATGAACGATTTCTAATTTCGGAAGCGGAGTTTAATTTTAGATTTCCATCAGAATAATAACTTTACCTGTTGATCCAGTTTTCTCTAGTTGGGTTAATGTTATCAAAAAAGCACTAATTATAAATCATTTTAGAAATTCAAAAGGTTAGAATTTTTTTGAAGAAAGTCAGTGTTTTTTTTAATATTTACTTGCGTTCATTACTCGTTTCCAATTTTCGATTGGCTATGTTCTGATTTTTCTACACGTAAAATATTTCTGTTAGTAAATGAAATTTTGTTGAAAAAAATAGGCATTACTTTTGCAGTTTTTCGGATGCATCAATTCTGATTTATTTCTTTTTGATTTTTCTTCAAATGAGTGGAATCAGTTTTTATTTTATTTTTATAGTTTTAGAATTGAGCAATTTTTGTGTTTTCATTTCCTCTACGGGCGTCTTGTTTGTTATTATTTTTTCTATGATGATTCAGTTGTCTTAACGTTTCGTATCAACTTCATATAGGATGTACTTGGTTTCAGAGTTCCGAAACTGTTTGAAACTTGCGAAATTATTTTTTGTCATTTTTTCTTTCTTTTGATATCAATTAAAGCAAATACGGAAACTTTTCGTACCCCTTATTTTTCCGGTAGGATATGCAAGTTGTTTAATTGCAAGATTTAAGCAAATTGTTTAAATACAATAAGGAACTTTTGCATCTCGATTTTTTACCAAAGTTTTTCTTATCGTTTCAACCTATTGGTTATGAGAAAGAAACGAATGGAATTTGTGTTGCCCGAATCCTTCTCATGTGTTTGGTTATTGCCTTTCATTATTCTTGCGAATCGAGTTATTAGAACGAACCTTCTTTTTTTTCCAACATAAGTAGCAAATATTGGTGCCACTTTTGAGGGACTTTCACAGCTTATTGATAGCATGTGCTTTGACATTAGAGTAGTAATAACTTTACACAGTTGATGCATTTTTAATTCCTCAAATGAACCGAATAAAGCTATTTGTTTCAAACATCATAACAATCATGAAAACTTGATTTCAGAAATTTTCTAAATCAATATATCTCGCAGTTTTTTGAAATGCATTATTTATTTATACGTAATGTGGTTTTATGCTTTGCGATCGGTTACATGCAAAGTTAGTGTGGATGCCTTCAGTTTGTTATATTCCAAATAATCATATGCAAAATTGAGTCTATTTGTATTTGGTGCTACTTTTGCTGAATGGCATTGGCAAGTTATAAGTATATGTAGCGGCTTTATTCGTGACTAGTGTTTGTCGGTTGCTAAGCTTGCGTGGATAGTGCGTGAGACTCAAAATCTCTTGATTGCAGTAGGTCGCAGGTTCGAATCCTACACGTAGTCGAGTTTTTGCTAATTCAATGCTTATTTCTACTTTTTCTTTTTTCAATTGATAGAGCTGCTTTTTGGTCGTGTTCTCGCAAGTGTTTTTGAGACTTAATTTCTTTTGATTTTAGGCAGTTTTTTTTGGCTCGCAAGTGGCGGGAAGTTCAGCTTCGCCTCTTTCTTTGAGAGTTGTTAAAGGATAGTTGGAATATTCACTGCTTTGATATTTGACGGCCTTTTACTAATTTTGCTTTGAAACTCGACTCTGCAAGATGATAGTGTTATCTCATAAAAAATTCATCGCAGTCTTTCCAAAAAAAATTTTCAAAAATTCTAACTGGCGTTAAAAATGGGTCTGAATAGATTTCCAACCAACTTCAATAGTTTCAACGCTTGCCAGAGCAAGTGAATTGTAATAGGGAACTAGGTTTTTTGTTGAACAACTTTTGCAAACGTTTGAGAATTTAGAGATTGTTCAACTGAATTGTCGGTGACTTTACAAACATAATTTTAGCATGTCTGCATTTTAAATTCCCGTTATATTCGAAATTTTTGTTGGTTGTACATTGTTGGATTCTTTCACAATGAGTTTTCCCATTGGTTCGTTGATCAATAATAATTGGTTATCCAGTTTGCTAATAAAAGAGGCGAGCAAATAAGCGAATTCATTTTTTTATTATTATTTCAAACTCCTCCCTCTTTCAAAATAATCAAAACCTCAACTAGTTGCTTCCTATACGCATCGCAAGACTGATGCAACCGATTTGAACGCTTAACGAAGCATTTTAAAATCGTTTTTCCAATCTATAACCAACCACAACCTATTTTTCAATCATTTTCAGTCACATTGCGCTTAATTTTTTTGACCTGCTGTAAAGTGACACAATGTCAGCAACCGTCGTACACTTTTCAAAGTTTGTTTTCCTTTTAGTTTTTGTGCAGTTATTTTGAGTTGTGCCAATGTTTTCAGATTTGCGTGGAATGCATGTCGGATAAGATCCAGTTGACCGCTGACCAGCAGCAGCTGGTGTATGCATTCAGTCAGTCGACCGACTGTGATCTGGACTTGGCATACTGTCTCTTGAGCGAGAACAACTGGCAGTTTAATGTTACCCTCCAGATATACGAACAAGTGTTCAATACTCGACCACCTGAAGATGATGATGATAACGTCCAAGTCCCACCAGCTCAAAATGTGAAAACCATATCTGCAAAAGGTTGGATATCATTTTTTGCATATCTTCTCATTGTTTTAGTGATTCATTGTGAATGAAAAAAGTAATGCGGTCGTGCGGTTTTTATATTTTTCCTCAAAAGCTTAAAAGTTTGGTCAAGTTCATTTTTTCTGAAATATTGGACTTTTCGCAAACGCAAGTAGATGGATGATGTGTTATAGCACGCAATCAATTGACCGACTCAATTTTATTTTATATGAGTAAAAACATATATTTTTGCAAATTTCTGTTTAGGCGGCCATAGCCTCATCAAGGAAAGCGATTTACCAGGGTTGGTGCTCTAGCCTTGTATCTGAATAGCAAAAACGGTTCTCCGCAGCACCTTAATATTGTTTGCAAAAGCATTTTGTCCTTTTAGAACAGAAAACAGTCGCTTTATATGCCTCAGTTTATTGATTGTTTTTTCACTGTGAATGAAGTTTTTGAGCTTTGATATTGTAAATTTTGGCTTTCCACAGTCGTTGAAAAATCTGTTTTTTGATTGCATGTCATTCAAATTTTTTTCAAGTGGTTATAAACATGTCTCAAGTACCTATTGAGCTATCTCCATGAAATTAGTAATCGCTTGTTACTTTATCAAATAATATTTTTTGCTTGAGTAAATTGATAATACTTAGAAGGGTAGAGACATTGAATGGGCATTAGCATGCCTTTATTCGGAGTGCAGTCTGTATTTAGACAACCGCGTATTCATACTCGTCAGGAAGCAGACAAATGCCATATTAACCAATCAGAATCTAGATGAGAAAACAAATTCAGGAAATAAATAATTATTAGTTATTCATTTCTTCCTTGTCTCGATTCTGATTGGTTAATACAGTATTTGTCTACTTACTGACGAGTCTGAATACGCGGTTGTCTAAATACTGCTACGTAACCCCTTTATTCTATTCTCTCAAATTTATGTCCTCTGATAGATATATGGGTTCTGTATAAATGTTCATGTTAACAATCAAAATATGTTAACTTATCTAAAAGGACAATGCCTAAAAATGTTATAAAACTATCCTGGAAATGAATAAACTTCAGGTTATAAAATAGTTCTAGAATTATCCAAAGATTCTATATATTTTTTGCTGTTATTGTAGTTCTAGAATTATCCAAAGATACTATATATTTTTTTTTGCTGTTATTGTAGATAATTGCTAACATTCTGTTGGCTATTTATTGTCTAGCTTGCAAAAACGAAATATATTTTCTCTATAATGTTGCATAGTGCAAAAAAATTAGAATGAACACGAAATTTGAAATGACCATTTTCGTAGTTTTCAATCAAATTGATAGACCAGATCGTAAGCTGCTTTTAAGGTTGCTGTTATGTAGCAATTAAAATGTTCATCATTGAAATGAATCTACCCAGAAAATTTTTTCTGTGAATTGAGACAACTTCGTTGAGTTAAAGTTTTGATAACCGAATCTTGGCTAAAAATAATTTAGTTTGACATCACATTTTAAGATAATTTCGAGCGCGTGAAAAGAATAATCCAAGTCATAATTCTTCCCAATCCTTGATTAATCGAATCAATAAATTTGTATGTTCTAGGCTCTCATTACGAGGCCAAAATGTGCAATCTGCATTGTAAGCGGTTTCCGCAACAGGCCAAAATCAGATTTGTCGCGGAATCCGCAACATTGCTACTTTTCTTTGA